GGCACAATCGGCAGACCATGCAGTGCCAGGTGCTGATCAAAATGACACAGAGGTATTCCAAGACAGTTACATCGACATCACAAAAAAAATCTGAAAATCTGAGGGGTCTGGGTCATTGGGAGCAAGATAGTTTTCTTTTCTTGCCTTTTTTTTTTTTTTTTTTTTTTTTCCTGAGAAAACTTCTGGAGAAACCTAATAGGCCTACAGCAAGTCTTCCCCCACACACAAACATTACCAGGGTGCTTTTCGGTCACTCCTTTGCCTCCCAACAAATGGGTTTTAAAGTTTAATAACTACTTTTCGTGGCACAACTCAGGGAAAATAAGTTACCTTTGAAAAGCTCTAGAGGGGAGGATAAAAAAGAAAGAAAAAAAACAACCCTATGTTTTCAAACTGATGATGTGGGAGTTAGAGTGAACATTAAGACTTTCCCAGGAATCCCTAAGGAATTGGCATATATTATTTTAAGACTAAACTCAATCCTTTCTGCTGTCATAGGATTGCCTTTGAATTGTGGGGTAACACTCGTGGATTGGATGACTTTCTTACTAAACTCAGAAGTATACAATAATTTTCCTCTCCCTGTGAGGTAAACGTTGCTGATATATATATATATATCAAAGTAAGTGCCAGCGAGGTTAAGGAGTTCTTCACAGAGTAAAAAAATAACAGCTTGGGATAGAAGAAGGCAATAAATAAGATTACTCCACCAGCTCCTGTTCTCTGTCTACTAATTCTGTTTACCCTCTTAGTAATATGACACTCTCGTACCCCATCTTTGTGAGTGATGTCTAGAACAGATTTTTTGAGGACTATATTTTACGAGTAGGGTGGACGCTTCCCAGTTTTCTATGTGTGGGAGAATTCACATCTGAAAGAATACAGAAAGAAAAGGGCTTACCAATCTTAGGGATCCTTTCAGGCTTTGTGCCCTAGAAAATGCTAAAGGTGTGTCAAAGGTACACATATGAGCATGCACTCAGACTCATTTTGTTCCTAGAAACATTTGAAATGTGACATTTGAAATTAGTTCATGCTTCTGCTTGGCCCTCACGTTCCTTTCTGTTCCCCTGAGCTCTCATTCTACCTCTGTCTCCACAGACTGCAGGCAACTCCCATCAGGCCAGTGCTGAACTGCACCTCTGAAGTAGAGAGGCAACTGTAGAAACATAGACAAGTGACCTTAGGTGGGCTTTTGCATGACTTGGGTGGAATCTTGGAAACATACCTCAAAATAATTTTTTTTTCTTTAGTTTCCTGGATTCTTCACTATATAGCCTTGAATTCCAGACACATATCTTGGTTTTTGGATGACAGAGTGGGAAGAAAGGGTAGGGGTAAATTTCTGTGAAAATGCTATAAATCTATTCTCTCTCATTGTTCATAACAAAGGTAAGTTTCTGGTGTATTGACTAAAAATAAAATCACCCTTTCTCTAGATAATTTCATTGGTAAATAAGAATGATACCCAAGGTTAAGTAGAAAAATTATTTTAAAAACAGATTTTATAATGTCAGTAAATCAATACATTTCCTCATTATGACTGAACAACATGCAACTTTCACTGAAATACATCTATTAACCTCAAAACTGAAGATATCTTTACTCTTTGTTCCATATCAAAGAGCACTTGGGACTTCCAGAAACCTTCTGAAAAACACTTTTCAATCTGAGGGAAGATAACAGAGTTCTAAAAAAACTCCAAAAGCAACAACATTAAGAGATTGTTATTGTAATTTCAGTATAAGATAATCTGCTGTGTTAGGAGGGGCAGGAGAAAGAGAAAATACCAGCCCTCAGTGAGGCAGAATTAAAAGTAAAACAGCAAAACTGGGCAAAGTTAAGGCAAAAGCATACATGTTTTTCAGTGATCTCTTCACATCAAAAATATTTATAAAAAATTCAAACACTGTGAGGTAATTAATAACAAAGGAATTAGAAATTAGAATTAGGTAATCCCAAGCACTCTCTTCTGTTCTACATTTCTATTACTCTGTGTTACCTCCTCCCTCTAGAAACAGTCTACATTCCTCTTCCTGCTATGTGTGAACTTACACTCATGTACCTTAAACACAGGGGTCTTGAAAACTTCTTTCACTGTGATGCAATCTAGCAGCACATTCCTTGCATGTGGGACAAGTTAAGAACACCCATATGAACAGGTAGGATGGCTCATCTGGAACTTGTTATGCTAACATAAATCAGCCTTGTTTGATACAGGCCTTAGCCTAAATAAGACAAATGAGAGAGAACAATGCTACTTTATCAGGGAGAGAGCAAAGACCTCAGTCTAGTAACAGTTCAAATACAGGAGAGGATAATTAAAGAACAAGTTAAACAAATATTTAAATTATTGGATAACAGCACTTTTGAAGGATGCAAAAACAAAAGTGCATATTTTAAAGGTAAGAACATAGACATGCAAGGACTTCAGGACCAGTCAGTTATGGAGAAAGTACAGAGCAGTACATGGAGATGAGGGAATAACATCAAAAGAAAAGAAAAGAAAGAAAATCAAACTAGACTTCACAACATCTAAAGCCACCAGCAGTCTTCTGAGGGAATACAATATTTTTCCTAGCTGTAAATTTATGCAATAGGTCAAATATATGTTGGCCTCATTTTCTTTGATGGCAGATTGTATAGATCAGATATCAGAGTCAAAGTATGTTAAACTTATGCAAAGACTGCAATTTTAAAACCCCTAGTGGTGGTCCAAAAGAAAAGAGCTGGAAATGGAGTAACTCCCTAATGATTAATTTCAAGATTTGAATGCTATCAAAGTAGAAACTATATTCTGTTTTAAACAGCTAATAAAGGTCAAACATCTGAGAAGATGGACTGGGATGGATATGGAACTGTAAAATGAAGGAAAGTAGCAGAGCTTCCCAAAGGAAAAGTGGAAACCAAAGAAGCAAGTTAACACTAGAGATTGAAGAAGTGAGAGTTTTGCATAAAAATGGTTTATACATACATTTAAGCACCTCTCACTTCCTTCCATTCCTAAAGAAAATTACAAGGGCCCACAAGAGGCCAAAGTTAAGATATGTGAAAATAAAGTCAGTGAGCTCCTTATTTATGGATAAAATGCAGGGGTAAAGTTAATTTTCAGGCAATAAAAATACAAAAGTAGGGTGAGAATAAAGACCAGAGATGTTGTTGAATAATCCACCAATTCTCATTTCTAATTAATGCTCTCAGGCACATGGACACTATAGAGAAAACTGCAGATTTAAAGATTAATGAGCTTACCATACCATGGCTTAACCAAGGATCAGTTTGATCCCAACCCAGAATAAATAATAAAAAAGTGTAGGCTGCAAAAGAATCAAAGAAATATGTAGAGCTCAGAATAAAGTAGTAAGTTTATACTATAGAGTGGCACCAAACTTTTTTTTGGAAAATAGGAAGACTCTTTTAATAAAAGTCACAAGGCACAGTGAAACAGGGTTTATCAGGCATATTGTATTTCATAGGTTTATAACTAAAAGCATTAAAACACTGCTCAGATAATAAAGTCAAACAGAATAATACTCTGCTAACACTCATTATCTACAGATAGCTATATGCAAGTGCATTTATCAATAAGTGAACTTTTTAACAAGTTAACAAAAGTGGGAATAGGATACTCAGTTTATTTGTGACATTTCTTCCTATTTTACAATACTGGAAATACTTTTAAGGAAACAGAAATGCCAACAGGATTTTCAGAAATCACTATCAGACAATTCTGATATGCATGCCCCTGATGGTGACATTCTGAAGGAAAAAAAAAATCATTAACAAAAATTGAATATACTTAGAAAAAATTTTGAAAAAATAAATACACTTACAGATATTTAATGTTGGCAAGTTCTAGAAAGTTATCTGTGTGCACTTAATGACAAAATGAATGGATGAGAATTTTTTTCAAAGCCTTAGGGTCTACAATTCAATAAATTTAAAACTAGTTACATGTGAACTGTTGCAACTGTTTCACATTCTTGGAGTTTATTGATTTTTTATTTTGGCACAGTATATCATGGATATAAAACTAAAGATGGTTTGAATACAAACTTATGGAATGTCAGACTTTGATTTTATAAACTCAGAAAACGTGTTCAGATTTACAGATCTTATTTTTGTCAACTTCAGAAAACTCCCTACTACCAATCATGCTAATGAAATAAATGTTTGAAAAAATGTAATTTTTTTTTTTTACTTATTTTAAAAAGCGGTACTTAAACCACTCTAAAAACCAACCAAATTTTAATCTCTCACGGTAATGAAAGATTATTCCTTCTGTTACCATGACGTGAGGTTTTAGTTATGCTTTGGAATTAGACTTGCTAAAAAAATTCCAAGCTCTTAAATATTTTCAACTATTTTTTGTTGGGAAAACAGGTAGTTATATGCACATATGAAATATATTCACTGCTAAAAGGATAAATGCTATTTGACATTGGTATGAAAACATTATTCACTTTAATTAATTCCATTAATTCAATTATTTAATTTTCCTTCTTGTTCCAAACAATCATGACAAAACACGCAGCTTGAAATAAAGGGAAGAACATTCTTTACCTATTCCACATCTTTTCCACTGCCTGTAGAGTTAATGTTCTGGTTTTGGTTCACAGTTAATTCTAATAAAAAAAAAAACAAGAACTTGGGAAACACACAGATGGCCACAAACTATAAATTATATGGTTGTCTTGCGTGGGCGGTATGTAAAACATTGCATCTTCACTCCCTTATATCAAGTCTGAAATCAGAAGGCACTTGGTGCTTGATAAGCCTTTTACATTTTCTATTTTTAACGTATGAAAAAATTTTATTACCTTCAAAAGTAAGTCCTGCCAATTAGGAAAACTTTTAGGTAACATAATCTCTCAAAATCTAAAATGTTTTCATTAATGATGGCTTTGTTCTCTTCAGAGAAAAACTACACACAGGAAGGATACAAGAAAAGGAGCAAATCCAAGAAGAAAAAGAAATGTTCAAGTATGACTGAAGTGGTTTAGAATATTACCCAGGTCCACTGTTGGAAACACTCCTGAAAGAGGCAGCTCTGGAGGCTGGTCACCTGAAGACAGTGAGAAAACGGATGTGAGAAAGGAAGGACCGGATCATCCATCAGACGGAATCCAGACGTGACAATTAGAGTTAATGAACCACAACCCATGAAGCTGCCTCAGCACCTTTTTACAACCCCACTTCATGGCCTTAATAAAAATAGCAGGGCTTATTTTACAGAGCACATCTGCTCTAAATTCTCAAAGGAGAAACTTTGCATTCAGAAGTTACATTTGGTTTCTTCACCACTTTTCAGTCATGTATAAAGAATATTTAACGGCTGTGTATTTACTTTTCTATCTGTTCAGTCAACAGAGCATTGGAAGATAACGCTTTTTTATAATAAGACTGCACTACTATAATAATTACTTAGCTTACATTAGCATAATAAGGATGCTGAGGATGACTGAAAAGTAACAGACAAATATTTTCTTCGATTTCTCCAATGTAATGGTATCTACATCCCCATATTGCCTTTAATTTCAGATATTTAGAAATAGTGTGCTTTACAAAAATCAGGCTGATTTGCTGCTTTTCAAATATGCGTCACTCTGACTTGGTACTGAAGTCTTCAATTTCTTCACAGAGCAGGTATGGCTTAGCAATACCTCTTCCTCCCCTAAGTTCAGAAGATCTGCTGAACTTCGAAGCCTGAGGTTTAAACTGATCTTTCTTGCCTTAACAGACAAAGGATTTCTGTAGTTATCCAGTCTTAGGATCCTACTTATTTCCTTAGGTCTCAGCTACCAGTTCCATACCCACACTGCTTCTTCTGTCCACAAGCAAAAAGAAGCAAAGCGGAAGGACAAAGTAGCTCATAGATTAATTGTTAGAAGACTTCCTTTTGCATAGTAGGAGATGACTGGAAGAGCTCTTGGCTCAGCTATAAGGTATAATATATACAGGGAAGAAGTAATTTTGTTCCTTACCACAGTAACATGAGTAAAAATATGACAAAATTGACCCTGTTGTATCACAAAGCTTCAGATGGCAGTTGCTGAGAAGCCTAATTATGATGCATTGCTTTCAGATTGTCAGTGTTTTTCAGGAAAGTAGCGAGAATACCTTCTTTTGATATTAACCACTAATTTAAAAATTAATTAATCTGCCTATTAATCCATGACTGAATCAATGCTAGAGCCATTTGCTGGAAGGATAGTATATTTTGTCATGACATTATTGGTCAGCCAAGGTCTGATATGTTTACAGTGCTAGAACAAAAATTATTTTACCAAAACAAATCAATTCCCTATGAAAACTGATATCTAAATTACCATTGCTTTTTCGTAATGGTAGACAATTCCAGTAACACTTGTCCAGTTTGGCCCTTGCCAAAGCCTCCTACAGTGAAATATACAATTCTCCTCTCTTTGTAATAAGCAGAAATCATCAACACGTTCAGGAGACATTCTGCTTTGTTTTCAGGAACTCGGTGGGAGCCTGTGTCTCACACAGACCTTGCCGCTGAGTTCCCACAGCGTGGGTTCAGAAACCCGCAAAGGCAGGATAATAAGTGCAGACCAAGAGCTCAGGAGTGGTGTCTCATGGCCAGCTGCATTCCAATTTCCTCCTCTTAGTGAGTTAAGAAGAGATTGGTCACATCCTGCTTCTGGGGAAGAAAAAGACATCTCAGCAGCCAGTACCTCTTTAACTCTGGGCTGGAAGAAAACCACCATTCAGAAGAGTCCAGTTTGGTCTTGCACATAGAAATGTCTGTGGTGCAGGACTTTATTGGGAGCTGTTGCCTTTCAAGGGAAGTGGCTCATAGAGCTTTGTATTATATTTTTTTTCTATACTTTAAATAACAGATTAAATAATAAACCACCTAATTTTATTCTAGCTGAGTTTTCTCAATTAAAATTTAAAAAATGTCTTACATTGTTTTAGATGGCTTGGTAATAAAAATCCCTGAAACTGTTTCTCTTTGTGTACATACACATTGATAAGACAAGTTCAGGTTTATCTTCTTTCTTTGTTTGTTTGGTTTTTGTTTTAACCATCCAAGAGCTTATTAAATGTCACTGGTATCAAAATTACAGTTAAACCAGTGAAAAAATAAAATGTGAAGTCTAAAAACTAGCACAATTTAAAAAATATTGAAATAGGATTTGCTGCAAATACCTTCTGCCTTGCATAAAGATCAAATTATTTTTGCAAATTTGTGTTAAGAGAACATATACAACAGAGTGAATAAACCACCCACAGACCGGGTGAATGATGTTTTAAGGGCCCACTACTTTAATAATTTCCTTCAACCCAATTCTGCTTCAGTAACTAAAGAACATACAACAGAAGAAATAATTTGTTTTATCTTCAGGTGTCATATAAACACATTTAATGGAAGATCTCTATGTAAACAAAGCTTTCTGAGAAAATGCTCTAGTAGACATTTGTGGTTTCATGAACTGTTTACAAGTAATTCTATTCTAACACTTTTTATTTAAAAGAAACAGTAAATTGTATTTCGTCATAAACTTAGTTTCTTTGGGTTTAAATTTATTTAATTATTTTTTTAATTACTGTTTTGATGACATCTAATCCACAAAGCAGTTATTTTGATTGAAAAGAAAACACTGTTCCTCATCCAATATTCTCATCCAAAATAACTCATGTTTATAGGGAGACACAGCAAGGGAAAAGAAATATTAGGTGTTGACTCAAAAGCAAGAGAGCACAACTCAGAATTGTGGCTTGGAAGAGCCACATTAATAGAAGATATGAGGGACCAACTTCCCAGCATAGTAGGTGTATTGAAAAATGTCATGTGTACCAATTAAATTACAGTATTTAAATAAATAAATAAATAAATAAATAAATAAATAAAACATCTATGTGTACCTTCTCAATCCATATTTTCACCAGCCTATGTCCTACTTTGCATGCTGAGTGAATCGTAGCTTTAAGGGGATTTAAAATCCCACTTTGAAAAGGAAGAGTACCATAGGACTGGGAACCAGGTAACATTGGTATAGACAGTAAAATGTTGCCTTACAATGAAAAGAAGTATAAGTGCGAAAAAAATACTGTGTTCTTATTACTAAATTATTATTGGAGACAGAAGCTGTCATTAGGTAGAGACATTTTTCAACTTTGTCTTGAGGACTCTTTTAAGACAAAAACTAACATTAAATACTACAAAGAAATTTCTCTCCACATGAGGAGATCCTCTGAACAGATCACCATACACTTTCATAGTTAAGAATCTGATTGCAAAACCATTTAAGCTGAACTATGCAGAAACTACTTTGAAATAAGAATATCCACAAAGGAGTTGTATTACTTTAAAATGTTCCATAGTAAATCAACTTAGCGTTCTTGTACAGGCAAGGATTGAGTCTTTCCCAGCCATGTTGGCAGATACCACTCTACAGAGCAAAAATCACTTCTTACATTATTGCCCAATCACAACAAACCCAATTTTAATGATTTGTAGGTATAAACATTGGAACATTGAAGGTGCCATAGAATCCTCACATAACTACTTGCCTAACTGTTAAGAAACAGGAAGCAGCTATGCATGCACAGTTAAGGAGGCAGAAGACCTTTTACTAGGAGCACACAATTACACACTACTGGACCAAATTTCTGTGCTGTCTTCTGTTATTATGCACAATTCAAAGATATTTTTCTAGTTATGCTTTATAGTGTTCTGTCAGAAAGTAACACCTTGACCGTCTACCACCTTGAACAGCTGTACACCTTCCTGCAGGTAATTTCATAGAATCATAGAATCATAGAATTTCTGCCCTGCCTGAGTATCCTCCTTCTCCTGCCATATTAATATCATTACTTCTGCGACATATGGTAAAGTTTTCCAGTTGTAGAGGACTCAGGTAAAGATCCTGCCACCAGACAAGTCTTTCAAATTACATAAATCCAGTTTTGTTGAAGACAGGAAGATTTTTACAGTTGAATTCAGTCAGGGAACAACTAAGGCTTACTAGCCCATTCCTACTCATGTCACAAGTTAGGGAAGAGGACCTGTACTTTTGGAAGTGACCTGGTCAGCTTAATGGCCACATCCTCAGGACTGAACAATTATTTTTTTATTAAAAATTCCCATTAAAGTGAATTCCCTACAGGGGAAGTAACCTTTTCCAATACATACCATAGACATGAAGTAAATATTTTCTTGTCCTGAGATTTAGTGGCTATTACTCCTTAGTTCTACTCGTAAAGTGTACTATTTCTGCACTGACTGACAAGAATAGTTCCTTCCAACTGTTGTTATCCCTATTAAGCTTTATTAGGTTATTAACAGTAAGAAGCAGAAAAGAAACAGTACTATTAGTTGAAAAAGTTAATTTTAGAAAGCAATGGAAAGTCCCTTATCAAAAAGGTGGATCTAAGCCATGACCTTTAATGAGGTAATAAAAAACACTAAGAAAGAAAAAGAAAAAAAGTCGTGTGAGCAATTTTGTTACATGAAATCGTGTAAAGAATTAATCATACCAGATTATCATTGCAGCAGTATAGAACTTTAATACAGTAGATTAACAGTTGAAATTCATATGAGATTATTATTTGTATGTACACCTGAATATACATTTTACTATAACAGAAAGCATTTTAACAGATCTTCAAAAAAATCTTGCAGCTATGGACTTCCATTTCATTTTGAATGGAATAATTTTTATATTTTCAGGCAACACTTATAGGTTTTGATTATTTATACTGAGTAATTAAGTAATATTTCATTTTTAGTTTCATGATTTATTTGCACCACAGTGAAATATGCAACCTAGTTCAAAGCCAATGATATGTAAAGTATTAACCCTGGCAGCTGAATGGGGTCTTTATATTCAAAAAAAGAAAGGAATGAGTAAAGAAAGAGAGGACAGAGGCACTGAAAGGCTTAACCACAATTCTTAGGAAAACATATTTAAAGAAGGCACATTACAGCATTTCTATGCAACCAAGCTCTTACAGTCTAAGCTACAGCTACACTAGCTGCTCTACACTAACTTTCTACGTGGACACTTATGCACTAAAAGAAGGGGAATATTTACATCTTAAGCTTAACTCACTTTCAAAGAAGACTAAAAATAATAATCTTGGTTTGATACAAGATTTAAAGGTAATACCTTTTGCATGCTATTTTCTTGCACCAGAAAATTCTTAGTCAGCCATCCCCATCATTTTCCAGTACCGACTACTGGTGATTGTCCTCTCTTTCACTTGGAAGCGGTTCAGAACTCTGGCCTACAAGTACTATAATATCCATGTCATACAAATTGATATTTGGCCAAGTCTCAAATTCATCTTGGTATTTTCTGAATAATTAGCAAACAAGGAAAACAAACAGGAAGATCCTGTTTGGAAACACCTCACTTTGAAGGACTGACAAAAGCTACCTCACTATAGCCCTTGCAACCAAATGACATTTTCTATGACTGGCAAAACGGAGCAGCACACAGTATTCATAGGGGATCCCTTTGATCCCAAGAGTATCATTTACCTGTGTTACGGGTCATTTAATTATTTGTCTTCTCAGTCAATATCCTTTGATGTAACAAATCTCAGGATGCCAGTCTTCTGATACATGGCAAAGTAATTAATTCCAGCAGTAATGTCTTCAAAGATGATGCTGCAATTCAAGGCAGAAGAAAAAAGCCACAAAAGAAGAAAGAGGTTAGATGCAAGTAGTATATCTCTCTCATTCAGCTAAGAGCCAAACTTTGTATGTTAGTCTGAGTGAGTTATTTGGAAGATTTAGTTATACTATGTAGCTTTTTTCTTTGTTTTATATGAAACACAAAAATTTTGTATTTATTAAAAGGCAATTGACAGATGTAAATTCATGGGACTATATGTTTACATGTTTTTTAAAAAGGTTACATTAAAGTGCTAAAAATTGGATTCATTTAATTTTTTTAAATTAAAGAATTCAGGATTTAGTCTCATTCCTTTCCTAGTAACACTCAAAGTACAGTGATATTGAAGCCATGCAGCACACACAGGTCTTTATTTCTAACTTCACAACTTGTGCAACTTTTTAAGGTTGTTCAAGTCAAACCAAAAATGAGTTTGGGGGGGGTGGGGGGAATGCACCATTGTTGGGGTTTTCTTATC